GTGTGTGTGACAATTCTATAATATAATTTACAAATTGCCTTAAATATTTTTATTACCATTTTTTTTTCTAACTTGTATAAAAAAAAATTTAAAAATAGAAAGTATCCACTGGGCCCACTTAACCCGGGACCGTTAGTTCGTGGTCCCGGTCCGGTTCCAACAAGTAGCCCGCGAAACCTGGGACTGCTTAGGACTGGCCCACTTAGGACTGGGCCCGTGAAGCCCACTTAGGAATGGGCCCGGCCCACATACCACCCCTATTGTCTATACGCAATTGCCAAACCATGTAATGAGATTAAGCTCTTGTTAGTTTTTGCTTTTTTTTTTAGTTTACTTTTTCTTTTAAATATTAAATCAGAATTAATTGTTTTTCTACTTAGCGGAGGCCCTTGCAAAGTCTTGGTCACGCCTTACGAGTCAACGAGTTTACTTGGATCAGGCTTATAATCCTCAGTTTTAAATGGGCTTAGAAAATTTTGACCTAGCCCCACCCGATCAGTGGAAATGGCATGGGGTAGCCAGTTTTTAAGATGGTATTTAGTATTTAGTTAAAACTTTTAACGCTGAGCAAAAATAGCCACTACTCTATTAAAATTAATACAAAAAGATATTTTTACTCTTTCTTTTATCTTTCTTCTTTCCCAAATCCTTTATGAAAAGTTCAAAACCCTCGCTTCACCATCAACTTCTCGTTAATGCATCTAGGTAATTTCTCCATTTTCTAGGTATTTTTTCAGATAAAGAACCATAAATCGCCGAGGTTCAATTCACGCCTAAGAAAGAGTTTATTTTCTCTCTAAATCATGTTTTTATTTAGTCTTTTTCTTTCTTTTATGTTTCTAGTTGCGCATGGCTGCTAGGTACTAGAAAAGTCCCAAACAAAATCTCATTTGGATAGTTGGACTTATATAAATTTTTACAACTACTGTTTTTTTCATTTAGACTGATGATTATGCCTTTTATATTAGCGGAAATTTGAAGAACTTGAAGAACACTTGTTTCAAGTTTGAAGAACTTCTCAGACTCATTCTAATCGATTTGAGCAGCTGAGAAATTGTTGCAACGAATCAGGTTTGATTCTTTGAGTATTAAGGTGAACTTCTGCTTGATCTTCCACTGAATTCGATTGACTTCCTTATTACTTTGTGATTGAGTTTGAATTCATAAATTGACTCAAGGTTCTTGTTGGTTTGAACTGTTTCTTTGAAATCCTTATTGAAGAATTGATTGGGAGTTAGCTACTGTATATTGTGATTAGGTCCTGAATGTTAGTTTATTACTTTAAATATTCAGGACATTTTTAGAAAAATGATCCTGAAGTTTACCTGCTATTTCCTACTTTAATTTAATTTCATTTAATTTTCCTTACAGCTCTTTTGTTACCTTTGGGATGATTGCAATCATTTAAATAAAAAAATTCAGATGCTTTTGCAAGTAAATTTTTAAGGTTAACTGGTTCTATTTTATTTCTGAATACCTTGTTAATTTTTTGCCAACCAAATGTGGGTTTTTAATCTCATGGGTAGAGTTTTCTTAATTTATTTTGGTCATTATTTGAAAATGAGCCTTAAAGGTTATCCCTTTCTTTTCTTTTTCACATTTACAGGACCTTTGTAACGATCCATTAGTTTGGGATTCATCAAACTATCGTTAGCAAGTAGAGAATAAACCAATAAGTAGTCAAGTGCATGCATTTCTCTAGCTGCTGTATATTGTAATTAGGTCCTGAATGTTAGTTTTTTAGTTTAAATATTCAAGACATTTCAGAAAAATAGTCCAGATGTTTACATGCTATTTTCTTCTTTGTAGATTAGTGGATATATTTAATATATTATTTATTGGAGAACTGTATTTGTTATAAATGCAAGCTCTAAGTGTGCTAATGGAAGGAGATCAACATTTCGAGTTTGATGATTGGCGTAATTTGATGGGTCGATCGACTACAGAAGCTATCCACCTTATTAAGAGGTTGGTGGAACATTACAAGGATAGGAAGAAGGATCTGCATATGGTTTTTATTGACATGGATAAAACATATGACAAGATCCCTAGGGAGGTTCTTTGGAGATGCCTAGAGGCAAAAGGTGTGCCAGTAGCTTACATTAGGGCGATCGGGGACATGCATGATGGAGCTAAGACTTGGATGATGACAGTGGGAGGCGGTTCTGAGCATTTCCCAGTTGTTATGGGGTTACATCAAGGATCTATGCTCAGCCCGTTCTTATTTTCCCCATGATGGATGCACTAACACACCATATTCAAGAGGAGGTTTCATGGTATATGTTATTCGCTAACGACATAGTTCTGATTGATGAGTCGCGAGGCAGTGTTAACTGATAAGTGGGAATTTTGACTGGTTATTTGCTCTCTTTTACTTGCGATTTAGCTCAAAAATGCTTAAAGGCATTCCTGGAAACTAACAAAATGTGTTTACTTGCAGGAATATTGGGACACGAGCCAAAGAAGTCAAAATCAACTCACAAAGGAGTCAAAAGTGAACAAGAACCAAAACATGGAAAAAAGGCAAGCAGCGCGGACCGCACAATTCTAGTGCAAGGCATGCGGACCGCACCGAAATTGTGCGGCCGCATTCATTATTATGCGGTCCGCAAGGTTGAAGAATCAGAGAGCTGTGTCAAGTCCAAAAAAGCAAGAAGTGCGGACCGCAGCAGTTTTGTGCGGCCACATAATCATAAGTGCGGCCGCACCTATTTTTATGCGTACCGCAGAAGCCCCCAAGTTCCAAGCCCAAGTTCCCAAGAATGCGGACCGCAAGATAATTGTGCATCCGCAGTAGCTCGCGGCCGCACAACCTTCGCAGGGGCATTTTTGTCAGATATTTTTAGCTTAGTATAAATAGAACTTTTTGTCATTTTTAGGTTAAGTTGAGTTTTCAGAAGTGCACCTGGGCCTTTTTCTTTACCGTATTGAGTAATTTTGTACTAGATTAACTTCTTAACATTAGATTTTCTTTGTCTAATCAATTATTATGCATTCTATCTTAATTTCTTCTCGTGTTTCTTTATTTTTCATAAGTAGCTAAATCTTTAGCTAGGGTTGTGACCCAACTCTAGTATGGGTATTTGATGGGTGTTTAATTTAGGGCTTATTTTTTATTGGGTTAGTGATATTTAGCCTTGTTCATGATTGAACCCTAGAATCAATGGTTGCAAACATTGATTCATGCCTATTTGACTTAGCCTCTACTTGAGAAAGATAGACTAAGTCTAGGAAAACTAGGCCAATAAGAAATTGGGGTGAACTTAAGAAATTGATAGCCCAAATTAAAGGGTTAAACCTAGAGATAGTAATACCCGATTTGAGCTAATATCACTTGTATTGTGCAAATACCCAATTGGGCTTGAGAAAGCCAAATTGGGCAAAATCACTCAAACTACCGAGGGGTATAGAGTGAGTACCAGGATGTGATTGCTATATCACGACCTCAACTAATCAAATTTTCCCTGGAGTTTACAACCCATTAGATAACCACCTAGGTAGAAGTCACGACCCTAGTCCCTTTTAATCATTCGAAAAACTCAAAACCAAAAATATTGTCCTTAGTTTAATACTTGCAAACAATAGAGTAAAGTAGAAGTAGAACACCAATCAAGTTTCAGGAAGTGTAATTGGAGTCAAAACTTGTAATTAACTTAGATATACACCTAATCCCATATTCTAACTCCCTGTGGATTCGATCCCGACCTTCGTTGGGTTTATTATTGCATCGACCGCCTTACTACTAAATTGTGGTGTGGGTTTGGCCGAGATCATTAACGATAGGCTGGAGGTTTGGAGGCACGCCCTTGAGTCTAAGGGTTTCAAGTTGAGCAGGACTAAGACAGAATATTTGGAATGCATGTTCAACACCAAATCAGGGGAAGTGGGCATGGACGTGAGGCTTGGAACACAGGTCATCCCCAAGAGAAGTAGTTTTAAGTACCTGTGGTCGATTATCCATGGGGATGGAGAGATTGATGAGGACGTCACACTCTGTATAGGGTGGGTGGATAAAATGGAGGTTAGCATCATAATTCATGTGTGACAAGAGAGTGCCACCGTTAATCAAAGGTATGTTCTATAGAGTTGTAGTTAGACCGACCATGTTGTATGTGGTAGAGAGTTGGCCGGTTAAGAACTCTCATATCCAGAAGATGAAAGTTGCAGAGATGAGGATAATTGAGATGGATGTACAAGCATACTAGGATGGATAATATTAAGAATAAAGTTATTCGGGAGAAGGTGGGCGTGACTCCTATGGATGACAAGATGCGGTAAGCGAGGCTCGGATGATCCGGGCACGTGCGGAGGAGGAGCCCTGATACTCTTCTGAGGAGGTGCGAGAGTTTGGCCCTGGCGGGAACGAGAAGAGGTAGAGGGCGGCCTAAGAAGTATTGGGGAGAGGTATTAGACAGGACATGGCGTTGCTGCAGATTTCTGAGGACATGGCCCTTGATAGGAATATGTGGAGGTCGAGCATTAGGATTGTATGTTAGGACGTAGTGGAGTCCAGGGGTGAGGCTAGTTCGATAGGGGTGGTCTTAGACTGCTAGGGGTTTATGTTTTGTTCTCCCTATCCTTACGTTTTCATAGCATCAGGCTTATTTTCTGGTTTTGTTATTGCATTTCAACTATTTTCTAGTTCTTAGGATGTTGTTATTATTTATTTGGTTTTTGTTTGATGGTACTAATATATTGTCCGTTCCCTTATCTTCTTGTCTTTTTCGTCTTATTGAGCCGAGGGTCTTTCGAAAGTAACCTCTCTACTCCTTCGGGGTAGGGGTAAAGTCTACATACACACTACCCTCCCAGACTCTACTTGTGAGATTTTACTGGGTCGTAGTTGTTGTTGTTGTATTGTAAAGGAGATTTTAAATATAAGGAAACAAAAAAAAGTTTCTTGTCGAACGCGCAATGGAAGAAATTGAGAGACGGTGTTTTCGAAAACTTTTTTCCGGCTGGTAGGTGTTAAATTCTGCGGAAAATTAATTCACTATGTGTTTCTTTTTGAAATTGTAAGCAATGATAATAATTCAATGACATTTAATATTTTTGATCATGAAATGAAGTTTACACGTGAAGACTTCCACATAATTACTAGGTTGAAATATTCTTCTTTGGGGGACTTTAACGTTTTGAATGAAAGAGAGAATAGGCTTTCTAAAGTTTACTTCCCTAGTAAGAAAAGAATTGAGTTACGAGACTTGGCATTTTATTAATAGTCGTGCATCTGGTACAACTGCATCATTTGTAGGCAGCTACAACGATGCGGTGAAGCTGGCAACAATTTATTTTGTTGAGTCTGTGTTGATAGGTAAGCGCAAGAATAGAAATGTGTCTGAGCGGGTAATGAGAATCATTTATGATGATCAACTCTACTCTTCTTTCCATTGGGGCTCTTTGTCATCAAAAGTTAGTCAACTCATTGAAAACTTGCTTGAAGCCAAAAAATACACTTCAGACAATGAGAATGAGAAAGAGAGAGAGAAAGAGAAGGACATTTTTACTATACTTGGCTTCCCTTTCGCCTTCTGTGTTTGGATTATGAAAGTATTCCCAGCTTTCCAAGAAAAAGACGTTGTCATATTCAGAGAATGCGGGTTCCCTAGGATTCTATGTTATTCAGATTTGAAATCTCTGCATTATGAGAGCCTCTATAAAAACTACTTTCATAATGAAAAAGTAAGTTAATAGTATTAATGGTGTAACGAACCGATCGGTTGTTTTGAGCTTTAGTGTTCCGTTCAGTGATTTGAGACTTTGAGAATCTTCATATGATGTATTATGACTTGCGTGTATTGTCAGTTTTAATTTTTGAGTGATTCAGGGATTGATTTGGAAGAATGACTCTCGATTTGGAAGCTTTAAGTTGGAAGCGTTGACCAATGTTTGACTTTTGGGTAAACGGACTCGGAATCACGTTTTTATGATTCTGATAGGTTTGTATGATAATTTTAGACTTGTGTGTATGTCCAGATTCGGTTTTGGAGGTTTCTAGAAGGATTCGACACTATTTGTCGAAAGTTGACAATTTGAAGAACTTAAGAGTTCATAAGTTTGACCAAGAGTTGACTTTGATATTATTGGACACCAATTGGTATTCCGAGACTTTGGATAGGTCTATATAGTTGAATTGAACTTTTGTGCAAGATTTGGAAGTAATCCTAAATGTTTAAGTGTGATTCAGACACTCTTTTGAAAGAATGAAGATTTAACAATTTAAGAGAAATTTTATTCGGTTTGAGCCTCGATTCTTTATTGTGATGTTCCCGTGGGTTTTTTGAGGCTTAGTATAAGTTTGAATAATGCATTTGTACTTGTTGGTATGATGGAATGGGGTCCCGAGGGGCTCGCGTGTGTTTTGAATCCTTGGTTGAAAAATTAGTTAAGTTAAAAATTTGGAGTTTGACCATTCTCTATATCGGGTCAAGATGACCACTTTTCAGTATTTTGAGTGCGCGAGCAGGTTTGTAGCGTATTTTATTATTGAAACGCAAAGATGGTTTGTGTCTGGGAGGTTCCGAATGAGTTTTGGGTGCTAAAATAAAGATTCTTTTTGTTGCTGATTTTCTGGTGTAAAATAATTACAAAAATATCATTGTTGTCTCTTAAATTTTAAGACTTCCTTTAAAACTTTCAAATATCATATATCCCTCATTTTAAGGCCAAATTTGGTAACTCAAAAGGCTATCTTGGATGTAATATCGCAAGGATTATGTTGGGAATATCAAATATGACTTTCAGAGTTATCTAGGATTTGATTCGATCTATAACAACTGTTGCATTTTATTTATTTATTTCAGAATTTAGTCACTTTTTCTCACATGATTTTGGAGCTCGGATTTGGGCGATTTTGGAGAGGATTTTCACCACATGGATTGGGATAAGTGTTTTCTACTCAGTTTTTGTTATATTCCGTGATTCCATCTTTATTTTTGGCATTTGATTGATGATTTCGAAAGAGAAATTGAGGATTTTTCTCTAAATTTTCCTAAAGTGAAGTTTTGAGTTTTGAGAATCGATTCGGAGTCGGAATTGAGTGAAATTAGTATGGTTGGACTCGTAATTGAATGAGTTGTCAGATATTGTGAGTTTTGTCAGGTTTTGAGGTGCGGGCCTGAGTTTGACATTTTAGTTGACTTTGAGTAAACGTGTAAAGATTCAACCTTTATCGATTGGATTTGCTTCCTATGGAATTATTTGATGATTTTGAGTTGGTTTTGGCTAGTTTCGAGTCGTTCAGAGGATGATTTGAGCGGGATGATTCTTCTAGTGTACCGATTTGTCTTGATTAAGGTAAGTATCACGACCCAGAATTTTTCACCGACGAGACCGTGATGGCGCCTTACATTTCACTTGATAGGCAAGCCAACATTAGAGAATTATTAAACCAATTCCTTATTTCCATTCAGTAATTAACAATACTTAACTAAGATGAAATATAATAAGTGCAGAATATCATAAAAACTGTATTAAT